AGCTCAACGAGGTGGCTTTCGTGTACCCGCAATGCGGCGATACCTATAGTGCTCGCCCCTGGCGAAAGCGCTACAGATGCCAAAGTGCTCTTTGAGCAATGGGTGCAACGGCACCGCAAACTTTCCTCACTGTATGCCTTACTGTTGAGCCACAAGGAAGTGGACGTGCGTGTGAAGCGACACTTCCGATTTGAACCTGCCAAACTCAATCATGCCGTCGACTACCCTCAGATTATCGCCCTGTGACGTATGGATCAACCCCTAACTCCCGCGAGCTCTGTGTCTGTGACCGCAAGAGCTCAGGGTCACCGTTTGAGCTCAGCTCATGACCCTTCTGCTTCCCTGGCTATTGCCGAGAAGCGCGGGGCGCCCTGATCTTTCTGATCAAAAGCGTCCACGGCGCCTGGGCAATCTTGCCGAAGTGGCGTCTCAAACTCCCACGACTTTTCAAAGTCGGGATATCCCCGCCACCTCACCAGATATTGGGTTTGAACCTGATGACGACGTCGTCTCACTAGACGTTCCACGTGATAGTAGACGTCACCATTTTCATCGAGAAGGGTCGGTGGCGGGAGGTGACGATCGCGTCGACCGCCGTCCGGTGACTCATGATGCTCTTCGAGCCCTTAAGGACGAGGTTCTTTGTAATCGGAGCTTCGCTGAGCGTCATGCTGATGTAGCATATCGCTGAGCGGACGCTCTTGATGATTTGGAGCGCGTCGTGCGTCGGCTGCCTTGCCTTGAGGACAATCGCGCTCTGTCGGTGCGACTCCTAGCCGTGGAGCAACGATGGGGCGCTTGGATCCATTGAAGGTGGAGGTTGTTGCACTCCATGCTTAGAACCAGTTGCTGGTGCAGCGTTTGGGTGGCCGAGGGCCCGTGGGATCTGCTTTGGCGCCAACGCCTCCACGTTCACATGCGCCGGATCCCGATACAGCTTCAGCAAACCCACGTAAAACACCGGGTGGGTGCGCATCCGTTTCGGAAGGTTCAGCGTGTATGCCAGGCCCCGTTTGGCCACAACCTTAAATGGTCTGATAAACCGTAGACGAAGCGTCGTCCGGAAGATAGCAGAGAATACACGTGTAGAAAGGCTTTTAGAGTTTAATAAAACTCCACACATCTCATCAACCGCATACGCAGTGCAAATCAAAACCATCACAGACGACGTTAAAGTTGTAACATGAGCAAGCTTATAGTCTGGTCTGCGCGACAACGCATCAGCTAAAGCATTCTGCTTTCCCGGCTTATACTTCACCTCGAAGATATATTCAGCATAGAAGGATAGCCATCTAGCCATCCTCTACGAGAAGTGGGGCGATTGAGTCGCAGTGCGTAGTGACACATGATCTGTATAGATCACAAACGGCTTGGAGCTGAGCAGGTGGACTCTGAACTTGACAAGTGCATACTTCATCGCAAGTAGCTCTTTGTCATGAACTGGGTGGTTCTTATCTGCAGCTTTGAGCTGTCAGAATTCGAACGCGATCACCCGATCTCACCCCTCGGCGTCTGCCTGCAGCAGCGCACAGCCGATGACAAAGTCCAAAGCATCACAGACGACGCTGAAAGGACGATCAGGGTCTGGCAGGCCAGTATTGGTGCATGCAGGAGGTCGTCTCTAGACACGCTAAAATGTTCTGGTGTTCGGTGTTCCAACGCCATTTCGCATCCTTTCTAAGGAGATTGGATAATGGCCAGGCCATTTCTGCGTAGTTTACG